CATGAAAATAGGACAGAATTTGAAAAAAAAAAAAATAATAATAATAATTCAGGTCAAACTTAGGACTGTCCACTTGGCATGAATAATCATAGACAACTATTGCCCCAAACTAGGTCACGATGCTGGCCCAAATGAACACTGGTACGGAAATAGGGTTAATGCCGTAATCTAATTTAGATTAGATTAAAAAAAAGCATATGTAACAATTAAAACAAAGGCAAAAACAAACACAGCCGACATATAAGACATTCAAACTTTTTTTCTGAACTCTTCTCTCCTCATATTGTGTTTGTATAACTAGTCTTATCAGCACCAGTCAGGCAGCCAAATCTGTAAATTCTGGAGTTAAATGCGCTCCATATTGGATCCGTTTCCCGAAATGCCACTTGTGACTTTCTCACACCCCAGGACCCTGGAGGCTTTTTCAGCATTGACACTTGGCAAAGCCGGGCGTCTCCATCCTCCAGGAGTTTATCTGTCTGTAGTCAGTCCAGCATCACAGCCTGCCAGTTTTCATGGAGACCCCACTGACCAGGAAAACTAAGTGAGGCCCATACATTTGTTTATCTGCTTGTTTTTTTGTGTGTATGAAGTTGGAGCCAATTCTTTTTTCTTTTGGGAAGAAAAAAAAGTTCTCAAAAACAACACATGGTATTCTTAAACAGAATAGAATAATAATTTTCATCATTTTAAATATTATTATGTTATTATAGGGCTACATGAGGTAAACAAAAGTGAAGCATATTAAAGTGAGAAAGAGTGAAAGACGAATTACATGTTTTTATTTGTGTTAAAAAAAAGATTGAAGGGAATCTTCATCACAACATGGTAAGAGGAAGAGAGGAGTTGAGTAAATTGCTAACATGCTAAGCTAGAAGATTTCATGTAACATAAATTTAAATTGAATACAACTCATCAATATGGCGTGTCTGCTTTAAAGGAGACGTCAACAGGGCAGCTTGTCGGTGCACTAGTGTTGGAGCAACTATTTTTGTTTAAGATATGTTGACAGTTTGCTACGTCTGCCAAGAAGGTTGTGTTTTCCTGTGTTTGTATATGGAGCCACAGCGTGACTCAAACGAGCAACAGAGAAATGCTGTTGATATGTTCTGGGAATGTAGGTCAGGTCCCAGGAAATTATTGATTAACAATCGCACTGCAGATGCTGAAAGGCCTTGGTGGAGGTCAGTACTGTCTGTACTGATACTTCAGTGTTCTATTTGGAAAGACGTACGATTGTTTTAGGACGTACATCCATTCAGTCGTCACTACAGCTGTAACATCCATAACATCACATACTACAAGAACTGTGAGCCTAATGGATTTAAACTGAGTGTGTTTGACTGTGTAGGTCAGGGGTCACCAACTATATTTTTATCGGGGTTGACGCCAAAATGAAAACAAATTTAAAATCACATTTTTGTCAAAAAATATTATTTGATCTTTATTTTAGAATCCAGTCCAGAGCCGAACCCTGGACTTACGAACCACTAGTTGATGATCACTGGTGCAGGTGAAGATGAAATATTGTAAAATTGCTTTAAAATGCTGTTGGAGAGATTCTTTGCCATTTAATTAATGCGTTGATACAATCAGAGAGGGACATAAAAATGTTTATCCATGTTCTACATTATTTTACACGACATCACAATAAAAAGATGAAGCTCGTAATGTGATGTTCAGCCATTAGCTGGTTTATTGTAGCCATAACAAAACCAACTAGGGGAATCATCATAGTCATTACAGCACTGTTTATTTGTTTGTTGTGCCGGAGTGTCCCAAAATCTCTAATGTCACAAGACGTCACGTAGAGTTATGTTGGGGGGGGGGAGGCCACACATGTATAGGTCTGTCAGCATGTTTGTGTGTGAGTGCCGGTGTATGTGTGTATGTGTGTGTGTTTTTGTATCAGTGTGTGGAACTCAGTGCTGACAGCTTGTGGAAAGAGGGAGAGACAGTGGAGGGAGAGAAGTTAAAGAGGAAGCCAACGAGGATAATAAGCCAACAAGAAAAGGAAAAGCAAGGACGGAGCCTTGCAACATTCAATGTTAGTATCTCATTCATATTCACAGTCATCTGGCAGCTGGCAGGCGAACGACTGTGGCAACAAATTTAATCAAGGCCCCGGTCGGTGTGAGTGTGAAGGCTGAAACACTGGGCAGGGGCTGTGAGCCCTCATTAGCATAGCATAGCTATAATGTTGTGAGCATATGAATATTAGCAACCACCAAAATGTAGTGGAATGTGCTGCCGATGATTTCTGGTGAAATTCTTACGTCACACTGCAGCGAAATCATTTGATTTGATCGTTTATTTTTGTTTATTTTTTAACAGGGAAAAAGTACAATTATAATTAATTTAGCATTAATTCTGATTTTTCAAATGACTATATTGAATATATTGAACATCACAGGTTAATAGTTTGGTGAAAACAAAAAAAAAGAAGCTTATAATGTGCCTTTGGTTCATTCTAAAGAAATCAGCATAGGTTATAACATGGTTATGTCTAGAAAGGCTCAAATTTGTTTCTAGTATAAACAATAGCAAAAAAAAATACTTATAGCATAATATATGATAATTATGATTGTGGTGATGAATGAATTTGAAAAGAACTAGTTCAGAGAAAAACATAACATTTTGTAGAGGACATAAACATGGCCTCCGTAAAAATAAATCAAGGCAAAACATTCATATTTCCGCCTTTAATGCAAATAACTCCGACAATATAACGCTGCGATTGATTTAAGGTTTAAGGTCTGTGTGTTTTTAAGAGCTATTTTTGCTAAATACTTCACAGTCAGTTAACGTGGCCTTCAGTAAAAGTTAATGGACCCAAACATCAACTCTCAAGTATCAGTCGCTTTAATCACTTGTCACAAACTAATCAGTAACACACATCTCATTGTTAAGTGGAATGTTCAGAGATGTAATCTTCCTCTCCCGAATGGAATTCTGTTGAGTAATAAAAGGCGGCTTTTTGTAGCAGAGCAGAAACGAACCACCTGATCTACAACCTTGATATCTCACATTCCACGTTCCCTCTCTGCTACCCCAGGAGAAATATAACATTTCCTAAAATATACAAATCACTTTAATACAAGTGCACCACAACTGCGACGTTAGACGGAAAATCACATATCGGTACAAAAAAGCTAGAGATTGGATTCATAGAAGGATTATACAGAATACAGTAACTTTATTTACCATTGGTGGAAAACAGCAGATCAGACTCATGGGAATCAGATACAAGAAAAGGTGTAATGTACGATTAAAGAATTAATAATTTATGTTTCTTCTGATTTAACAAAGCTAGTTTCTTCTAGTTTTTCTCTTCATTTATTTTACTTATACTTTCTCCTGTCCCAATATTTGAGCACCTTCAAGTGACAGTGCTTTATTTAAAGAGCTTTAAGTTCAACATAATTTAAACATTGCTCCAGTATCACGATTGTATTACTAAGTCCATTAGAAAGATGATATTCAGGAAGAAGTGAAACTGAATCTCACTATAACGACCTTATGGAAACGACCACTTTTCATGTAGCTGGCAAAAATAACAAGTACAAATATAGGACAAATATTAGCCGGTGTCTGTTTACAAAGTTGTTGTTGTTTTACGTGTAGAAAAAAAATCAAGACAATCGTTGGGAGGACATCGGGGTTCGGCGCCGCCATCGCAGCGGGAACCAAGTACATCTTCCTGTCGACTCTGAATACTCTGAGTTACTGCCATCGTCTCGTCAATCCCATATGGCAAGCAGCCTTCAAATTAACACACTTGCAGTTTATTCCGGATACTGGCTCGGTGCTTCATTTACGGGCAGACAGACAAACTGACCCTGCCAGGACACAGACAGAAGAGCTACACCCTCCTCCTCCACGACCCCTCCCCCCCCCCCCCCCCCCCCCCCCCCCCCCCCAAAAAAGGACAAAAACAAGACAGAATCCGACTAAAAATCCTAAAAATCCTAGTATGTAGTTGAATACTGTCAACCAGTGTTTTTATTATAGGTGAAGTTCATCTGAAGGTCAAGGTATAAATATGTTCTTTTGATGCATAAAAAATAATTTTATCCATCATTTATAGAAATCATTCACATTCAGAAATAAATTTGGACTCACTACTGCACTGATGTTTTAGATATTCTTTGTAGTAGTAGTAGTAGTAGTAGTAGTAGTAGTAGTAAAACTGCTTGTCTGCTACAGTACTGTACTTTATACACAGTCTGAACCTCATGTTTAAACCTCCACGACACAGAGCTTTGAGGAGAGAGTCAGGAACTGCAGTCACAGTGTCGCCGCTGTCACTGTGTCTGATGTCAGTGTGTGTCTCTGTATGTGTGTGTGTGTGTGTGTGTGTGTGTCACAAGGGCAAGTGATGACAAACGATGGCAAATTGGAGTGAAGGCTTCCCGCTGCTTTCTCACCATGCCAACAAAGAATCAGAAGCAAGGAAGCAGCTGAGAAAATGGCTGTCAAACACAGACACACACACACATGCACACACACACACACACACACTAAGAACCTTGCAGACACAGAGGCCAAGTTTATACAGAGGCATGTGAGTTAAAAAGGAGGTGGAAAATCATAGTAGAAACAGCCCTTGATCTTGTTCCTGGCAGACAGGAGCTCTGCGTTAGTGCCTAAAAGCAATTTTTTTTTTTTTTTACATGTTGCTTTAATGAATTTAATGGTAATTTTCTAAACTAAACATACTGTCCACAGTTGAAAAAAATCAAAATTACAAAATCATTAAGGTAGAAAAAATATATATATACGTGTGTGTGTGTTAAACCATAATTCCAGATTCAGTTAGCCTAGCCTACATTAGCCCAGCCTTACACAGTCAACTAAAGAGGTCGTTGTTCTCTCCATCAGTTCTGGAGTCTTTGGTTGGAAACATATTTAAGAACCTCAAGATAAATCTACCACAAATCCATGTTTTTGTCCAGAACCTCAAGATAAATCTACCACAAATGCATATTTTGTAATTCCTCTTCATTGTTGATGCACTAGTTAGAAATCAAAGATCATTTCCTGCTAAAACAATAAAAACACATTTGTAGTCAGGTTTCATTTCTTCGTGTTTGCCCAAAATCAGAACGGTCGAGCACAGAAACTGAGACGCATTTCTGTAAATTGCCGTGATCCTTTGTCTTTGCATGAAACTGTCATGACTTTCTTCTGTGCAGAACAGCATGGGTCAGATATACGGTCAAAGACAAGGAGACGCTCATACATGAAGGTGACACTGACGAGTGATCTGTTGATTCTCAGAAGTGTTCAGAGATCAGATGACAGATGACTAGTGCTGTCAGACTGATTCCAGTGCCTCTGACTGACAGGCTGTTTCAGTAATAAAACAAAGTCCAAACTGTAACAATTACAGTGGAGAAAAATCAATGATGATACGTTCCCCACTCACCCAGGCATCGCTTCTAATCCACAATGAATGCTTTGGGATTTCAAGGTAGGTTCAAGGCTATTTCTGAAGAGCTGACCCCTCCTGGATGGACTCGCTCACTTAAATGGCCACCAGGGAACTGTGCATCTATCTTGGCTTAATGGATATAGGAATCCCACTTCCCGCATCTGTGATGAATGACTATGAATGGATGACCAAAGTGTCACTCTCAACGGGATCCATGGCTTTCCTTCATTCTGCTAAGAATCATAAAGCCCTGCAGGCTTACTTTTCTTAGGTCAATATCCTGTTTGAGCAGCCATTAAGACACATCCAACAATGGTCGCTAATATCATCAAGGTGTAACTCTCTGCTGCTGTCATTGCCTTCATCTCAAGGTGAATTACAAATGACCTGCCGGCTTTGGAATTCCATACATACTGTAGTGGTTTGTTAAAAATGTGTGATGGTAAAAACCAACGTCCCTCAAAGGTAAGATGCTTTGATGGCCTAGTGGTGATATTATGATTAACAGTGATCAGCTGATGACAGACAACAGAACCATTTGTTCTGAGTTTCCTGTTCAGATGGATCAACAGATTGAACAGAAGAAGCCGTCACTTTGATGAAACACCTGCCACAGGAGGACAAGGGAAACTGATATGGATTTTGCTGATACTGATGTGGATGTCATTTGCCTCTAAAGTGTGATAGGAGGATTTGATGCGATGTCGGGGGAGGTGGGGGGGTCATTCACTGGGAATAAGCATGAAAATGTGTCTGTGTATTCCACTGGCTTCTGTTTGATAGTGGGTGAAGACATCAATTCATCATTTTTCACAGATATCTTGTCATGGTAAAGATGTAGCTGGAAAAGGTAATGCACTCTGGACAGGTCACCAATCCATCAAAAAAAGAAAAAACAAAGGTGTCATTACATTTTTTAAATAAGGGAACTTCCAAAAAAAATAAAGATTATTTTCAAACATCAATCTCAGACCACTGACATTCCTACTGTGAGGCAACAGCAGTGGCCACTGTACCACCGAGTTTTTGATTTAATCAATCAGGTCCAATACACATTTTTAATTTCAAATATGGTTATTAAATCCACACCTAAACAACAATAACATACAACACTTGTAACCTGCAGCACGGAGATGATTTGTTTGAAAAAAAAAACCCAGCTGTTTGTCGTGAAACATGAAAAACTACTGAGCTCACGATTACCTTTAAACTCAAGGTGAAATACAGTCACAGCCCATCGACACACATTTTAACTTCCAAAAAGTTATTGTCAGCGGCATGTACAAAAACAACAGTCAAACTGAAAACGTATCGGCCTGCTTGAGAAACCGGCCAATCAGGTTGCTCTATGTCTTTCATGTGCTCCTAGAATGGAAACACATGCATAGTTCCACTCTCTCTCTCTCTCTCTCTCTCTCTCTCGTTCACTCTATCAGGCACAGTCTCTCTGTCAATGTGTGTGAGACTTCAAGAAAACTTTTGACATTTATAAGAGTTGTCATCACTTCTGTTCTGTCCTGAATAATTAATCAATCATGTTGTTGTTTTTGCACATGTTTTTGGACTTGGCACAATATTTATTACCATCTGCATTACCTGATTTGTATCTCACTGTCGCTTTGTTTCACTGTGGTCTGCTTTAGAACTCAATCTAAATCAATGTTGAAGACAAATTTCATCACAGTTACTCCACAACACGAATCTTTGATTTATATGATCAAGTTGTTTGTCTTCTACCTGCAGTTTGTTCAATCAACTGAAGGAATAAAAAACAGCCTCGTCTGATAATCCGTTCCATAAATCTATTTTTCTTCACACACCTTGGGCTTTTGTCCGTGGCTCCCCACAGTCAGTGACCTGCGCCCCAGATGTTTTGATGTTTGCTCTGCACCGCCACAGAGTGACAGATGCTTTGACATGTCCTGGATTAGTTATAATCTGGACATGTTAGGTTGCACTGTTAAGAACAGATGAGATCAGTGCACCTGGAGTGAAGGTGAGTGCACCTGTGTGGGTGTGGAGCAGTGAACAAGTCGCTGTTTGTCCTGATTAGTCATCGCCATGGTCGTTAATCTCAGCTGTTTTACTTCATCCAGTCATTTTAAGTGTACAAAAACACAACCTTCTATACATCGATTTGCTTTCAACCAAAAGTGTATCTGCCTTATTTGCACATGCTAATCAAATATGACCCATGTAGAAATGCAATCAAAGCTGATGCATGCTCATGTAACATAGTTAAGGATTTCTATATATCAAAAATTAATTCCATGTGTCAAAATGCCAAAAATTCATACTTTTATACCAACAAGGTTTTCAAAAGTCTACTCATCTGTAGAAATATTAAAAACAAAGACCCAAGATTTGCAACTGCCAACACCAACATTTTGCCACTAAATAAAAATCCATCAGAGTCCGCACAAACACTTGCAACTGTGTATCAGCTTTCAAACACTGCACACAAAGCAATTTCTTCTTCTCTTACCTGTTGATGGTGTCTCTCTCCCTGGTGTCGACAAATGATCGTCTCAGCGCCGGTGACAGTCGCCTGCGTGACCCAAACTCTCTGCTGCAGTCATCACAGTGGAAGGCCGTGGTCCTGGTGGCAGCATCGCTGCTCGTTTCTGCTTTGCCGTGATGATGTAGTTCTCCTCAAACGTTTTGCCACAATTGTTGTTTATGGTTCAAAGGTGGACAGGATCAAGCCACAGTTCTTTAGTTTTGCTTTTAGTTTCTCCATAACGTGTAGATATGGGCGTTTGATTCAACGTCTGCCTTCCTCTAGCTGACCATAACACAGTGCTTTTGGTATGCTGGAGCAATGCATACTACATGATCAGCTAACTGCAGCTGGGCTGAGTGACTCTGTGCTTGTAGTTCCACACATCTCCAAGACCTTGGTGTTGACTATGCGGCCTTGCCATTCGATGTCACAGATCCAGCCATGCTTCGAGCTGATGCAGGTGTTTCCTGTACGGAGTCCATGTTTCCTTGCTGTACAGTAAGGAAGTCAATACAGCAGCCCTCCGTGTAGACCCTGCTCTTTGTGGTCAGCTATCACCATGACTCTTCCAAACAAAAAAACTCAAAAGCTACAGTGGCTTTTGAGATCCACTGTGAAGTCTCATCATCCAGGGTGACATTAGAACTCCAAGGTAGCAAAACGTTGTGGCTGACACCAGATTCATCCCATAAATTGAAACTTCTGGATCAAAATAAGATCCGTTGGGGCTTGGCTGGAACATCACTTGTGTCTTTTTGATTTTGACTGACAGCCAAAACTTCTGCGTTGCGTCAACAATCAGCTGAATGTCATCCAGACTATGCTCCGTGAGCGTGCAGTCATCTGTAAACAGGAGGACTCTGATTAGAGTTTGTTATGTTACCTATTATACCACAGGAATAATAAGATGCAGGAAAATTAATTATCACCCTGTTAGCTCCATCGCTGCTAGAAACTTTCACACCTGATCTTAGGATAGTGACACAACCTCAGGCAGTATCCCTGAATCGGTGTTAGCATTAAGTAGGTGTGGTTTATAACCATAGCAAAGCTACAATTCCGACCTGGTCTGTCTATTAAGTGATCTATGTACAATATTTGAAAATGCAAAGTAAGCACGGGTGCAGGAAGTCAGCAGCGTGCTGCCCCACATCCATCATGTAGCTAATAAAACTGAGAGGCTGTCTGGAGGAGACAGTAGTGGAAGCTTTGGGACTTTGTTCACGTGATGTATGGGATTAAACCTGGTGGGATCATCTTCCAGTCGACGTCCACCCTCGAAGGGTTGGCTGCATTTACACAGCTATACGACACTAACTCCCCATCCTAACCTGACTCACTGACATTTAAATTTCTGCGTAGTCGGCCCTTTGTCAAAATTCCATATTCAGTCAAAGCCAGAGCAACAGCGGCATGGCTAAAGGTTGAGCAGCAGCAGTTGTTCAGACATCAAGACCTGATTTAGGATAAAACAGTCAGAGAAACCCTCCTTCTTTCCCCTCCCTCCCCCTCAGGCTCCCACATGCTGTACACTGCAGCTCCTCCTGCCCCTCCTATAAAGCTTTTGCACAGCGCATTCCTTTAAGACTCTGGAGATGTGAAGCCTTAAGCCGGAGCTGAAGGAAGGTGTAAATGTGCATTGGAAATGCATGGTGTTTCACTGTCAGTGACCCTGCTTCTAGGTTAAGTTGTAGTCGTGGTGATGGTGAAATTCAATCTCCCGTTTGTATGTAATGAATGTGTTTTAATGAATGGAGGAAAAAACCTGCAGCTAAAGCAATATACGTTTATAAATTCTTCATTATATTATGTTGCACTGCAAGAAGCTCTGCTATCTTGCCTCAAGCTGACTGCGTATGTGTGGGTATGAACTTACAACATTACATGCTTGTGAGTGTGTGCATATTAAAACCACTGGGTTTGAATCCACAGGCTGTGATATACGCCTGAGTCGGGACTCTGAGTGTTCTTCCAGGGTTAACATTACAACAATAAAAAAGCTTTCAAGATGAAGTGAGCAGTAAATCTCCACGCGAGTCCACATGAATCTGACTAATAAACGCTCTAAAAGCACGAAAGGAAATCGGTTGCCTGGCTTCCAGGGTCTCTGAAGGGCCACGGCCTGGAGGACTACTGATCAAATCCCAGACCAAATTAAGGATTTATGGAGCAGTGATAGTGATCACCGTTAACAGGTATATGGGTTCCGAGGATGCCCTATTAATTCCTCATGTTACAAAGTGTACTTCCCTTTACATTACATAGGAATACGCTAGTAATGAAACAACAGACGTGGGTCCAGGACCTGTCCTTTAGGATGGTGTTCTTTATGACGACGTCACAAATCTTTGTCTCCATTTCATTTCATTTTTGTTTGCTTATTTTTATGCACCTCTTGGAAAAACAGTTTGTTTGCTTATTTTTATGCACCTCTTTTTTCACCCCATTTTTCATGGACTCTAAAAACATTGACGTTACACAGTGAGTACTACTGACAAACTACTTTTTCATATTTTTCCTCCCAACCCAGGACATCTAGTTATATTTATTTTTACACTGAAAGAGGTTTTAGACGTCAGAGTCTGCCTGACCCACCAGACCACAAAAATGTACCAGAGGTTAATGTAGTGCAAGAAGTCATTGGAAGGTATTAATCAGTACCGGTGACTCAGCGATTACCGTCCAAGGTTGTGAGGTTTTCAGTGACTAAGAGCGTGTTTTCAACCAAAAACCTTTTGACAACCAACTAAGATAAAGCATCAGATTAAAAGTAGTGAGACCAAAGGAAATACAGTAGACATTATGATGTCATCAGAGCCTGTCAATCAGCAGCAGAATTGATTGCCCACTTGATGCTGTGTCCTCTGTTCAGTTTCTGCCTCTTCACAAGAAGTGAAGCCTCACTCTTAACAAGAAAGACGAAAATCCTCCTCAGGTGATCGTGTATGTGAAAATGTCATTCATACATTGGTAAAAAACAACAACAACAAAAAAAACTATTTATTTATTTATGATAAACCGCTTAATACCCGTTCACTCTCACTCTGACACCTATGGTCAACTTAGAGTTAACAGTTCAAATAAACCTGTGGGACAAAATCCTGGGACAAACGGGATTTCATGCAAACTCAATACACAAAGAAAACCATTCAGTTCAAAATGGTGACCTTCTTGCTGTAAGGCAAGGGCAGTTACCGCTGCTCTATTGTGTTGCAACAATGGAAGCGTTACTGTATAACGTGAGTAAAATGGTGTGACATTCCATCGTTACAATAGGTTATAATTTTACTAATGCTGTGATGAAAACGGCATTCAAAGACTGGATGGTTGGAGGTCACACTATTCCACATTGGACAAACCAGAGATTTTGTGTTTAAACGATACCTGAGGGGTACCATATGCTCGTGTAAATGAAATTTACTGAAATTGCTATTACTGCAAATGGAGGAGAGGGAGAGGTGGGGGGGGGGTCTCTGCTGTTAGAGGAAGCCTTAAATGTCATAAAAGAGAGGAGTTTGACGCCTCATTAGATCCAGAAATATGTTCCTGTGTAGAAGAGCAGTCTGTATATTTGAATTAAATCATCTGTGTTTACTCACAATTGGTCATTAGCATTGTAGACAAAAAAAATGAAATTAACTTTGCTGAGCTCTGAGAATGTACGCTTGGTCTTTTCCACCTTCAAACACTGAAGATGCCGCACATCGAACGGAGAGAACAGAAATAATTCAGTGCTTTATCTCGTCCAGTAACAGTTGTTTTTTTTTAAACCAGAAAATTTCCCAAAGGGTGAAACACAGCAGACACCAGTGCATAACAATAATGTTGGTAGAATGGCACTGTGTGGAAACCTGCAGCTTTATTTCCTCTGCAAAGGACAATACTGTACACCAACCATAGAAAATACAACTTTTGTTGTTTTTTTTTTTGTTTTTTTTGTATTACTGGATTCATACGTATTGTATGCACCCATTTAATACTGCAACACTGCACCACAGCTGTGGCTGCTACTGTGTGTTTAGTGTTGCCTTTTGTTAGAGCCTAATGGCAGGGGGGGGGGGGGGGGGGGGGGGGCATTCTACCACATGAGTGTGCAGCTCTGTCTGACACTGGAATGAGGGGATGAGGAGATTTATGGGGGTCCAGGGACACAGAGGGAAGAGACTGCAGACTCTAGCCTCCCCTGATTCCTCACAGTGCTTTACAGTCTGTCAGCCTTTGTCGTCTCCACACTCACACACACACACTCACACCCACACACACACAACTGAATGGACTTTTATTTATTTGGACAGTCGATGCCGCACCAAGACCCTAACCTCTCCGACCCTAACCCTCACAGTTTAACAGTAGACTCTACTCAACAGCCATTTACATCTGAGATGGAAGTCAGATATGACAAACCACTGCTGGCTTCAGTACAAACGGGTTCCACTGGCTCCGACAGGGTCTGTGTTTATACTGCTGTTTCATAAAATACCAAAAAAAAAAAAAGAAAACACACGGTCATCGGCTCGATTCCCTGGTGGGAACTAATGGACGTTCAGCATAGTCTCCTTGTGATCATGGGTTTTGTCCAGTTCCTTCTTCCCACAGTAATGATGTTTTTTTCAGTTGTTCTATTTTTATGTTATAATAATCAAAAATAAATATATATATATATTTATAATATAAAATAACCGCTGGTTAAAAATTATAAAAATTATGACAAATCCCTCGTATCATGATAGGACAAATCCTCCCTTCGTTAATTTCAATGTTAAAACACCTTCAAATTGCTGACATTGTTGACCAACCTAAATAAACCACGTGGACAATGAGACATTGACCTGCGGTAGGAGAACACAACATTGGTTGATTGGTGCGAGGGAGAGGTAGAAAAAAAATCAAAGTATTTAAATGAGGTATCGGGTATGATACCGATACTGGTATATTACTGTATGTGTATCGGAACATTCCTGGTACAGACACATTAATCACTGCACTGATCCCTGTCCTGTTCTCCGACACTGACAAAGCCTCTGCTGGTGGACAGACCGAGGACTGAAGGAGTCTTTGTGTCCTGCATGTATTAGACACACACAGACACACACACACAAACCTTCACGCACACACCCTGGCTTCCTCGCTGTGGAATTGCATGTCAAAACACTTTCCCCTTCAAACAACCACATTTTATCCTGTCAAAGACTAAACCAAGTTCTCCACGGCCACCCCTCACCCCCTCATCCCGTCCTCCACCCCCCTGCAAGGAACAAAAGTCGTCCACTAATAACTGCCTCCCATTTCCTCAGGTTGAGTTGACAAGAACAGAGACAAAAAAACAAGTGAATTGTGTGTGTTTTACTGTGTGAAGACAAACAAAGACAAAAGATGACGTGTTGTCTACAGACCAACCAAGGAAACTCTCAGACGGACATAATTGAAGCAATAACGTCCCAGAGGAATACAGAGACATAAATACACCTGTTCTAAGATGAGAAAAAAAAATCCCTACATTCACATGATGTATATGTTAAATGATATATAAATCACAGTATCTCTCCTCTCTATTACATCCTGTTACTAAATGATCCCCCCCGAGACCACCTCTCCCATAACTCTCCACACTGTAGTATCCCTGGAATGTTAATCTCCCCTCTTCCCTGGGAATGCTGTGTCCAGCCACCTCAACCAACCCATACAGGGTGACTTTGTATAGACTGCTGGAAAGATATGTCAGTTGTGGTTTACTGCATTCTATTTGTATGTCAAGACATTACCAGTAAATCCCAGTAGGATTGATCCACGTTTCCAGGACTGTGACCGTATCCTCACACAAACCACGGACCAGTTGGAATCCA